CGGAAAATTAACAAACGAACAGAGACGTAACAATACCATATGTAATCACTAAAGGACTAGATTCAGAATATAATGTTTAAAAATGTAACAGGCCTAATATTAATGTTTCACAGCAAGTAAAATTGCTCTTATGATAGTTTGTTTGATTTCGCGCAAATTTCCTCTAGGGTCATCTGCGCTAATTTAGAATTGATAGACTAGAGGGAAGGCAACTAGTCAAGATCACCCACCGCCTCTTCTTGGGCTCCCTTTATACCAACGAAAAGTTGAATTGGTCGTCACATTACAATGCCCCCAAACCTGAAAGGGCGAGCATATTTGGTGACGGAATTCGAACTTGCGACCTGTAGATTTCTTGTCATAGAAGCAAATATTTTATGTTTATCAAGCTTCTTGTACCAAGTTCTCTTAGCCGATGACTATCTAAATATGGTGTATGAAAAACTACTGCAGTTCAGAAATAGTATCAGTTTACAGTTAGGTATAGTTTGTCGCGGTATTGATAAAAACCAAAGAAAAGATTAGCGTGTCGGGCTGTAGATTGAAGGGTTTAAGATTCGAGGCGTGATACCGCTAATTATGCTTCTTAGTTTCAGCTATGGGTGTATTATAAAAGTCACAATCAATCAAAGAGCCAGATAAAGTCCTCGTGGAAGCAGATGCTGCTGGTTACCCGCTATTCCTTTGGTCAGAAGTTCAAAATCAGGGATCCCTATACTTGACTTATAGGGGCCTTTGACCTGACCACTCAGGCCACATGCGTTTCAAGTGCTATTTGGATTGACAAATTTCAATTCTACATGAAAAAAAAACAACATTTGTACAGCTTGATCTGACCTGAACAAGGACTGGTCACTTTAAGATAACGAGGGTTGCTGACTACCAACTTCTGATATTTTCAATTTCAGTTATCTTCCGAACGTGTACAGTGTCCCAAAATTTATCTTAGTAAAAAGACATATCATTATTTTTTATAGGACACAAACGTACTTAACAAGTTGCTGTATTAGCTATGATTCAAGAATCGTGATAATAAACAATTCAGTAAGTATCAATAATTCTCTTGAAATAAAGGTTACTCTAAGGGCTCATTAATCTTCCCATTGATATGGCACCAAGTCAAAAAAAAAAAAAGGACATGATATTAGAGTAGTCATATTACAATGGAACTAATTTACATTGTCTTTTACGTTTTTCATGATACGATGCATTCAGTATTAACCTGATGTTTAAGTCGTGCTAGAGTCTAGCATTTTTTCACGAGACAATTTAATTTAAACATCGCTACACACACACACATTCCAACAATCGTCGTTTTATTACGAATCAAAATAACGTCATATTATTACAATATGTGGCTTATTGTGACGTCAGAAATTGCTTTGAAATTCACTGTATCCGAATAATTTTGGCAGGTTAAATTATAAAAATGTTTTACAGATAATCAAATAGTTGAACATAAGTTTAATAACAATCATTGGGTACAATATTCAAAGTGGGGTGGCGCGTAACCCTTTTGCTCCACCATTCACCCGGTTGCATTTATTATGTCCATCGGAATGGTGTGAAGGAGCAGCAGACCCCTATTGGAGAGCTCTCCCTTCAGCAGTCACCCATCTAAGATATCATGATTAAGTTATTTTAAATCTTTCACATAGTAACTTATTAAATTCACTAGTTCATAATTTTTTCAGGATTAACTCCATAACCCTAATTTTGATTATTTACAAGCTCGTATTGTAGAGAGATTTGGCTAAATATGTTTATTCCTATAAATCTCGAAAAAGAAAATGATACCGTACAGTAGCGCCATCTGTCCTTTCAGCAAATAGTTACAGTCGCCCACCCAAACACTCGTATGAGAAGCGTTTTTCTAAGTTTTACTGATATTTTTGACATTTATGTTGTAGAAGAGGACAGTACTTTAAAATGGAAATAAAAAGCTAATATGGCAAGGGGGCCTAAGCTATAAGGTGCTTTGATTCAATAAAAACGAGCCTACGATTCTATGATATTGAAAGCCACTCCAATATGGACTTTGGCTATAGATGCTATTGAGAGTTGACAACCTATATACTTGCTTTAAAGAATGAACGTCGTTATTTGAAGCTCTTACAACGCTATTGTGTTCTTTTTCTTTATTTTGAGATTGTGACCAATGTAAAGTGAATGCAGCTGACAGAATATTAGTCATAGCGAAAGCAACTCGCGTGCACATTCCATCTTGTGTTACCATAGCAACAACGAACCTGATTGCTCATCTGTTACTGTGAGATGACCCTTTGGAAATATTACGACCGACGTTTGTTTAATATCTGGCGTCTGGAGTAGGAATCGGGGTAGCAATCCGCGGACGAAAGACAGCGTTCTCTTTGTATTTACAAAATAATACTTTGCCCAAGAAATATCCTCTGTATGTAGAATATTTGCGCTGATATTATCAATTTATCTTAAAATTTAACCAAAAATTTAAAGAGCCGACATTTAATGCTTAAATCATGTAAAATAGAAAATTTACAAAAATAAAGAAGGCTAGAGTACGATGTAAATTAAAACATTTTTTCGTATTTAATAACTTTTATTTTTTAAGTAAACGCCTTTTTATTAAAATTTGTCTGATTTAAATTAATGCTAAGGTTAGGACTTTCGTAAAGTGAAGTGAAGAATTATTGAACTTTGAAGAAAACGTTTACAACAAAGTTAACAGTTTTGTTTGTTGTTAAGCGCAAAGCTGCACAATGGGCTATCTGTGCTGTGCCAACCACGAGTACTGAAACCCGGTTTTTAACGTTATAAATACGCAGACTGGCCGCTGTGCCACTGGAGGGCCAAAGTTAATAGAAACTGTTTTTAGAAAAAGTTGACGAATTATATAAGAGTCAACTAAGAAACAGAAAAAAGAAATAAAGAGGAGGATGTTAAGAATCAAAATAAGTGCATTATCTGTGTAGTGCATATATGAAAATAA